TGGTTTTCTTGTTATTAATGTTCAGTGTTAACAAAGATATATTTTCAAAGATAGATTAATTAATAATTAATTAATAATTAATCCTAAGTATATAATAAATTACTTTTATGTTTATAAATACTGGTTATTTAACCAGTACTAATATTATATGATTTAATATAAAAAAGAAGCACTGGATTAAATATCTGTACAAAATAGAAAAATCTTAGCTAAACTATTAGCAAACTGATCTTTTTTATACAAACATGTAAAACCATTATTATCGACAATGTATAGAATACAAGATACTATGTACAATATATTGTATATAATAGTCTTCTTACAACCCTTTAGTAATCAATATTTATCAAAAAGATGGAAATATATTATCAATATTTATATGCGTATGTATATATATATATATATAATGTATAGAACATTAAAAAATTTTCGATACATGTTTTCATTAGGCAGTTTTTACTTTTTCTGTTGTATAAAACTATTACGAAACTATACGAAACTGTTTAATTTGCCGTTATAAACGGAAATAACTATAAGATTTACATTAATACAATATATATATAGTATATATTGTCTTACCAGAATATTCTTTCGTAATCGACACTTTAATACTTCTTTGATTACAATTTCACTTCACTATGTATCAAACACTAAATGTTGAATGTATATTTTTGAATCAAAAGTCATTTCACTTTTTTTATATACATTTATCATTATTGGAGCATTAATGATTCCAAATTTCTATGTAAAATTGTATCTTTAACAGCATTAAATACAACTTTTATGTTTTCTGTATCTACAGCAGTGGTAAAGTGGTGAAAAAGTGGTTTTCTTGGATCCCTTTTAACTGATATAAACATTTCAAGTATAAAATTCTGCACATCCTTCATGGAATGTGAATCTCCTGTGAATTGTGGAAAGTACCAACGAACATTTGTATCAGGTGATCTTACTTTTTTGTCTAACAAATCAGTTTTATTTAAAAATAAAATGATAGATACTCCACAAAATATCATATTGTTTACTATTGTATCAAATATATTTCTTGATTCTTCCAGTCGATTAGTTCTTCTATAACATTAATAAATATATTATATAATGATTTGATTTTCTTATCATTCTCATTTTCTAAATGATATATTTCAACTAAACATACCTATCTTCTAACAACACTTGATCAAATTCAGATGATGAAACAAGGAAAAGTATAGAAGTAACACAATCAAAACATTGATACCACTTCTGTCTTTGAGATCGTTGTCCTCCAACATCAACAAACAGAAATGGAATATTATTAATTTGTATGACAAATTCTGAAATTCCTTTAGTAGCTTTTCTACAATGTAAAATATCTTGATGGGTAGGTACATAATCCTACAAAAAATATTTATAATGAATAAATCATTTATATAATAATAATTTAATAAATTAAAAAAAAAGTTAAATAATAAGAGTAAATAACATTACCACTCTTGCAATTCTGTCAAGATTATCTAAGAAATATTGAACTGAATCACTCTGAAAAAGAAAAAGAAAGATTCTCTTTAGAATAATAATATAATAAAATATAAAAGTAATTTTTTATAATTTCATCATTTTTTATTTAATGAATTTAAATTTATATATTTAATTATTATGCATTACAATAAATATTAAAATAACCATTATCATAATATAAAAATATATTTATTAGTTATCAGAAAAATATATCTTACTAATTGAAATTCTCTTCTCCTATCAAAAGCTTTCTTGATTGATGCATCTTTCCACAAACTTTGTAAAGCTGGTACATAATGGAGAAATAATCTAGCATCCAATACCATAGTATTTTCAAATTTCAATAATTGATAACCAATATCATAATTTTTAGCATTTTCCCATGGAATATTCAATTTATCACGAGCATCTACTAATACCTTCATTCCTTTAATTATATTTTGATAAATTACATGTTGATATTCCTTAATTAATTCAGGCTGAAACAAATGATTATAATAAATGTTAAATTTAAATAAATTTTTTGTTTGTATTTATCACTCATTCAAAAGTATGAAAAATAATCTAAAAAAAGTTATATTTTCAAGCTTATCTTTTATAAATAATTATTTTCATTTCATACACTATAATAACTAAGTTCAATGATTACAATTGCTATAAATAATAAAATAAACAAAATGATATGAATTTAATTGTCTATATTTAATAAATTTTAATAATATTTGTAAATAAATTTATAATTATTGAACAATGTAAATAAATAAACAGAAGTACAAATTTATTAAATATCTTTGTTAATGAAAACATGATAACAAAAACAACTAAATCTTCATATTCAATAATTAGATTTTAAAGAAAAATATAAATGATATTTATTTTTATTTTAAATTTAATTTCTCACTTTATTCAAAATTAATTATCTAAATTACATATTTTAAAAAATAATAATTTATAATTATAGATATTTAAATAACTACAATAACATTGAAAGAAGTTTAGAAAATTTGTTTTTTTAATAAATAAATTATATACAATCCAATGTAAAAAGATTAAAGAAACGAATGAAAACATACAATCTGATATTTTAGGAAAAAGTGAAATTAGAACGAAATTGTCTTGCAACGAAATCAAGAATGTCTTACCTCGAATTTAATTCCGTGAATAATTCGCATCTGTTTGAGGAATGTTGATTTTCCGCTCTCGCCTGCCCCGAGGAGCAGCAGCTTAACTTGTCGTCGAAAAGTTTGACGATCTTTCTCCAGCATTCGATCGATTTCTTGACTTTTGTAACGCTGCTCAATCTCCTCGGGGCTGAACTTGAACCGTAGGCAACAAGTACACGACCACGTTAAGGATCCCGCCATCTTGCTACCCTGCTACCCTCCTCTTCCTTCCTTCCGGCGTTTCTTCCGTGTCAGGCTGTCCTTCCGAAGGAATATATCCTTGATTGTCCAAACACCACACATACACACGCAAGTCACAGACCCGTACACGAGTCTGTATTCGCGAAGAAGTATCGTAACGTAATGTGCGTATTAAACGAGCCACCCGTGAACAACCTGTTCGTAATTGCACGGGATCGGCGCACGTCGCGATTCAGAACCGCATTTTTCACCTAGGCGTAGCCGGGGAACGCAACCACCAAATCAACGTCAATACACCTCGTTGTTCAACTCTACACGATACTCCACACCTACCGTTAATCACGAGACTCACACCGCTGCCTGCCTACGATCGTCTCTGGTTCCTTGCGGATTGAACATGATTAAATAATCGTTCTAATTACCGAGTAAAAGAGCTAACTGGCGTATCATTCTCATCGCGCTTTATTCTTGACTACGAGGCGACCCTTGTCACCTTTCATGTAAACTTTCTTTTTTATTAATAATTATATCACCACATACACACACTTGTATTCTTTAATATCAAGACAAATGTGCAAGGGTTCACCTATGCCAAACTACATAATAATAATGCGGGGGAAGAAATATGCGAAACAGCGAACGGGAAAATGTACTCCCCACCACGACATATTTGTTGTGAGAGAGAGATACTGCCTCACACATACACATATACGGTATACACACGGTTTCTGACACCGACCGAAAGCACACCTCCCGGTTCGACCGCGTGATCGGTTTTGCGCGCTGTCATTCGTCGGAAGGCTTTCCTTTTTTTCTTTATTCTTGTCGATACTGTAATGCACTACGATGACGATTCCTCTTGAACATCGTGCGTCAAGGATTACACAGTTTTGGTTATGTGATGATCAAGAAAGTATTCATTTTTTTCATTTATCCTTACTATCGTCAGTTAACAAATCTTTTTACCTTGTATTACTAAGTTTTATCTTCTGTTACTGTAAGCCGGTTTTTCAATAATGTAGGAAATGATAATAAGGTGGTAGATTAATGAATATGATAAATATCGATATAAATTACTAACCAATCCCAGCAATTTATGTTTGAGCACAGATGAGGTATAGAATAGATTTAATATTTAATGAGACTTTGTGTCCTATGTTCTGAAATACCGATCGTGCAAAAAATCAGAATATTTGATATGTCCCACACGACTTATAAATGTAAAAATTATATTTAATTAAAATCATAAAAAATTGATAAAATCAAAGATTTTAAATATATATGTATATGTACATATATTAAATTATATTCATAGATCTTTTAACCACTATGAATAATAAATTCATATATAAATAAATTATTAATGAATTAAAAATTGATTAAAATCACTTTAATATTAAAATCATAATATTGCAAATTGCAAATATTTATTTTTTTTTATCAACTTTCGATTGTTAATCAAATAATCATTTTTAAAAAAAAAATTTGATTAATAGAATAAGTATAAATATGAAAAATAAAAGAACGAAGATAAAATAAAAATATTTAGTGCCATCTTCAAAGATATAAAATAATAGAACAAAGATAGAAATAGAATTAGAATTAATTTCGCTACAAAGATATCTTTTCCAAAACATTCAAGAGATGACATTGATCTTCAATTCTTACTCCATTATTTTTTAAAGAATGTCTTTGGTACGAAAGATATCTCAAAAGATGGCACTGGTGATCAATTCTTATTCTATTCTCTTACTATTTTTGTCTTTTCTTTACATATTTCATTTTCAGTATTTTGGAGATAGTGCGGATTTCAATATTCTTATTTCAATATTTCCTATTTCTGTCCTGGAAAAAGAATAGACATAGAATAAGAATTGTAAATCAGCTTCATTTTTCGAACAATTTTAAAATGTCTTTGATGATATTTCTAAAATGACAATAATTTTTTTCCTATTCCTATTCTTCTCCCACTTTTATAATTGCTCACATGATTACAGATGAGATACGGAATTCCAATTAAATACATTTTCATCCTTTTTTTAAGATTATCTTAATTTTTAAAAAATATAAATATTACATTTTTGACTTTACAAATATATATATGTATATTTTGTAAATATATTCAAACTGTTGTCATATGCAGATGGCGTAATAGTAGATAATCAAAGTTATTAAACAGTACAAAAGATATATACTTATTTTAAACTTTAAGTAAATGTTTATGAAATAAACATGTCGTTAGCAGATGAATTACTAGCAGATCTTGAAGAAAATGATAGCGACCGTATTGCAGAAGAACCAGAACCGGATTTTATTCCGACTTCTGTTTCTAAAACTATCGAAGAAGGTTAATCTTTTTCAATAACTATATTTTACAATAATACAGTTATTTATTATTTTCTATAATAATATAGTTAACTAATAAAAATAGTTAAATGTTAAACATTATTTATTTTTATTATTTTTTAATTCAATTGCAGAAATAAAAGTAGCATCTGTAAGAGAATTAGCAAAACTTCGTGATTCTATTCAATTACAAAAAGTAATGTCTCAAATAGAAAAATACAGCAAAATTCCTAGAAAATCAGCAGATATCATTGGACCTGTTGAATCCGATCCAGAATATCAACTTATTGTTGAAGCTAATAATATGGCTGTAGATATTGATGATGAAATAGGTATAATAAAAGTAATTTTTTTATGATTATTTAATGTAATATAATATATATATATATATAAAATTTATATTTTTTAGCTACTATACATCGATTTACAAGAGATAAATATTCTAAAAGATTTCCAGAATTGGAATCTTTAGTTGTTGGTCCATTGGAATATGTAATGACAGTTAGAGAACTGGGAAATGATTTAGATAGAGCAAAGAACAATGAAACATTACAACAATTTCTTACTCAAGCAACAATTATGGTTGTTTCAGTTACTGCTTCAACAACACAGGGGTAAGATTTATATAAGAGGAATATGATAAATTTAATATAATATATAAATGATATAAGTAACCGAATAAAAGTTTCCAATATTTTAAATTACAAAATTATTTTACTTTAGACAATTATTAACAGAAGAAGAAAAGGAGGCTATTTGTGAGGCTTGTGATATGGCAGTAGAATTGAATAATTGCAAATTAAAAATATTTGAATATGTTGAAAGTAGAATGGCATTTATTGCACCAAATCTTTCAATAATAGTGGGTGCATCTACAGCGGCAAAAATTATGGGTATTATATTATTGAATAAATATACTTTTTTCAGTAGTGAAAAATTGCATTAAACTTGTATTAATATTATCTTTTATTCTAGGTGTTGCAGGAGGATTAACGAAACTTTCAAAAATGCCAGCTTGCAACGTTCTAGTTTTGGGATCTCAAAAAACCACATTGTCTGGATTTTCTCAAGTAGCAACTCTTCCTCATACTGGATTTATATACTATTCTGATATCGTACAAGAAACACCACCAGTAAGTTGATATTAAAAATAATAATAAATTATTTATTAAAAATTTTTAAATATTTTTTATTGTTGTATATTTATTCTTTTAGGATTTACGAAGAAAGGCGGCAAGACTTGTAGCAGCGAAAAGTATGTTAGCTGCTCGAGTTGATGCGTGTCATGAAAGTACAGACGGCCATATCGGTCAAATGTTCCGCGAAGAGATTGAAAAAAAGCTTGATAAGCTTCAAGAACCACCTCCTGTAAAATTTGTGAAACCTTTACCAAAACCTATCGATCCAGGACGTAAGAAACGTGGTGGTAAACGTGTAAGAAAAATGAAAGAACGTTATGCTATTACTGAATTTAGAAAACATGCAAATAGAATGAATTTTGCTGATGTAAGCACTTTAATTTTTTTGTTAATCGCATTTCATATTTATATATATAATATCTATTGAGATTCTAATGGTTTTTTAGATTGAAAATGATGCCTATCAAGAAGATCTTGGTTATTCGCGAGGAACAATTGGCAAAGCAGGAACGGGTCGTATCCGATTACCGCAAATTGATGAAAAAACAAAAGTACGAATATCAAAAACACTTCAAAAAAATTTACAAAAACAGCAACAATGGGGTGGTAGTACAACAGTTAAAAAACAAGTTTCTGGTACAGCATCAAGTGTTGCATTCACTCCATTACAGGTAAAAAAATTAATTGTAATATAATAAAATTGTCGCAATTAATAGATTTTTGACATTAAATGAAATACATATTTATATTTATACATATTTTCTTTTTTCTTATCTTATAGGGCTTAGAAATTGTAAATCCACAAGCAGCAGAAAAGAAAGTAAATGAAGCTAATGCTAAATATTTTTCAAATACAGCTGGATTCTTAAAAGTGAAAAAAACATGATAAAATTGTACATAATGTAAAGTATAATATATCATTAATTAAGTAAATTTTAACTATATATATATATTTGCTTTTATAAAAGTTATACACGTTTTATTTATATATATTAATGTATTCTTATATCATTGAATAATAATGAAATTATAATTATTATAATATGCATTAGTATTAACTCTATTACAAATTAATTTTTTTAATGTAATAAAAAATAATTAAAAAAATTAATAAAATATATATATATATATATATA